CTGTTGTACAGGTCGAGGATACAGTATTGTTGGAGTGGGATGAAGAATCAAAGGAAGAAGTGAGTCATTTTGTGTCTTGGACATGCACATGATGGTGTCACATTCGTTTTTCTGTGCAGATTGACTCCTTTTTTTGGTTCCACGGTTGGTACTTTAGGGGAGGTCTACAACTAAATTCTTTTTTTTGCAAGAAATCGTTTTTCTGGTCTCCAGAATTTTGTGGGGAGTACACCTATATTTTTTAATGTATTTTTATTCTAAGTTGGCTTGGAATCAAAGAAATCTTTCCAATAAGAGGTGTCTTCCTGATTCTAAAATGTGATCCGAGCTTACTTGTGAATAAAAAATATGATTTAGATTTTAGAGGAGTATATTTCAAATCTTTTATGGCTTGTCATCTTATGTATATTTAGTGTGTCCCAAAACACATGAAGAATACCCAATATTTCTGTACATATTTTCCAGACATACAGTACTTTCACAATGCTGCATAGCAACTGTGTTGTGCATTGTACTGTGTCATCTCTGTGTTTGGTCACCTGTTGTTTATCTTTTGGCCATCCAGCTTTCAATTTCTGTCAATGTGAGGTCATTAGCCTTTTGCGCAGGCCCAAATATATGAAGGAGTGTCCAAGCACTCTTTACACACTCATTGTCTTTCTGGTATCTGTTGCAGTCAGTTGTCTAAGGGAAATACAGATATTACACTTCCGCATTTGTAAAAGGAGTCCAGATCATTTAAAAGCCCTGGCCATGAGAAAAAAAATCTTCTCTTGAACCCATTTTATTCTTACAGAATTCAAAGCAAAGTGAATCTTGAGAACTGAAGATATTTTGGAAGTGGAAAGTCTTCATTACAAATTTTCAATTTCCAAACAAAATTGGATGACTTGAGATAAAAGGCTTTTATGATACAGTAATACAAAATCAACGTATTCCTCTTGAAGGAAAGTGGATCAAATTTATAAATGTATTTTTAATCAACCACGTGACGCACTTTTTGGCCTTGGAGTTTAAGTCTTGACACTACGCTTCGTGGAAAGACTATTTATTTACTTAAAAACAGTGCCAAGGTTATTGTGGGATTGCAGAATCAGGATATTCTCTTTCAAGCTTTTCTTGGTGATCAGAAGAGACTGGCTTGAGATGTCAATGAAAGGTGATTGCATCTTTTTGAGATTTTGACATGAGATGTTATTTTTTCTCAATCAAAACTCACTTCATTCTAGAGTAAATCGCCACCTTTCATTGTCATGCAATGAGAGTTTGTTGTGTGACCTGCAGAAGTTTTCGAAACTCGGAAGCCTCAACCACGAACTCCTTATTGAAAGTTTATCTGTCTTTCGCAGAAGAAAATCAAAATCCTGACCAATCCAACACCTGGACTAGATGTGAGAACCAAGGGCAGTGACCTGACGAAGGACACCTTGATCATGAGAGCTGGAACGAAGTTGAGTCCTGCAGACGTTGGAATACTAGCATCCGTTGGAATAACTCGAGTGTCTGTCGTCCAAAAGCCGAAAGTAGCTGTTCTTTCCACGGGCAATGAAGTAATGGATCCCTTTTCCC